CAGGCTGAGTTGTACATTTTACAAGGCATTAGTTCTTTTTTTAAAAAAAGTTACTATTTTCGGTTCTCCTGAAAAATATTTTCAATAAACACCATTAGAAAGGAGTGTTTCAGTTTTACTCCTCTCTAATTGTGTATGGCTTTGGTTTTTTTGATAAGTAATGGTGAATTTAATAAATGGATTCTAACAAGGAATCAACATCAGTTACATAGGGGCCAAGTGGCACCAATTAGCTAACAAGAAAATACATCTAAGTTTAAGACTGTATATTTCTCCTTTTGCCAAAATTTTGTTTGAGTTTTTAGAAATACAGAAAAAGGAAGTTCATGAATTTTTTTTAACTGTTTCCAATCTGTTGATCTCAGTTGGATTACCTGTCCTTTTTTGCAAAATTCACTTGTTGGATCAAAGAGAGGAAATGATCATTTAAATTTCTGTCACCAATTACTTCTCATTGCGTTGAAAGGGAATCTGTTTTCTGATTGCCATGAGTTATATGTTATTGATGCGTTTGTCGGGAAACAATATTACAAACGCAAGAATGATTAATATTTCTGAATTATTGTTTTAGTCAAACTTAACTTCCCGAGTGGATTAGGATTCTTATTATTTCTAATTTATTAGGACTCTTGCTATTGTAAACCTCTATTTAAGAGAGTTGACATTCTTAATAAAATAAGTTGGATTTTATCAAGTTTCGGAGATTCGGAACTTTCTCAAACAAGTTCCCAGGTCTACAATTCCCTGAATGAATTGCAAATTTCAGCAATCATAGGCAAGTCAAGGAACAAGAACAGGGGATTAGACTTGTCTATTGGACCTGACTTTTCAGTTAATCGTCCAATGACTCGATCCAGAACTAGGGACCATAACAAATTGGTATCAGAGCCTGTCACCATGGACGAAAATACGGTAGAAGAAAAGTTACGAGTTAATCGTCCAACGACTCAATCCAGAACTAGGGACCATAACAAATTGGTATCAGAGCCTGTCACCATGGACGAAAATACGGTAGAAGAAAAGTTGCGAAATTTGTTACAGGAAGCCCCAAACTCAAACTGAAGCAAAAGTAGCAGCTTCAGAAGCAAGGATGGACGCCAAATTCCAGCAACTATCGCAGCAAATTGAAACCTTAATCCGCACCACGGCACGTGCGAAGGGAGTTGAAGTTGGAGACAATAGCGCTGCTTCTGTCCAACGAACCAGCAAGGCAGGTGAACAACTAGAGGTGCGTTTTGGAGGAAGAAACAACAACAATAAATTTGGTACTGATGACAATAACGGAGGAAGAGGTATTGTTCCCAGATACACTAAATTAGACTTTCCTATTTATGATGGAAGTGAAGATCCTCTTATTTGGCTTCACCGTTGTGAGAAATTCTACAGTAATCAGCATACAAACAACCAAGAAAAAGTAAGTAGAAAAAGTAAGTTTAGCTGCTTTACACATGGTAGGGGAGGCGCAACTGTGGGTTTATCAACTGGAACAAGAGGAATCCAATTTAACATGGGGCGTCTTTAAGGAATATTGTACTCTTCGTTTTGGCCCACCAATGAAAAGCAATCTGTTAGGAGAATTGATCAACTTGAAACAAACTAGTTCTGTTGAAGATTATCAGAGAAACTTCCAAAAATTGTTGGCTCGTGCATCATCTGTACGTATAGACCAACAAGTAGATATGTTCACAGCAGGGTTAGTTGATTTGATTCGTTTGGATGTGGAATAACCCATCTAACCTAGTACAAGCAATGAGTTTGGCGAGAGCATTTGAGAAGAAGATCCAAATTTCTTCTAGCACACAAAGGGGCTATGGTTCAACCTCAAACATTAGTGCAAGGGCTGCCACTACACCAGTAACTCCGAGTGTTAAGGTAGGTGCTTCTAATCCTTTTGTGAAAAAGTTGACTAGCGCCGAGATAGTTGCCCGACGTGCAAAGGGATTGTGCTACAACTGTGATGATCCTTATGTTCAAGGCCATCAGTGTAAAAAGTTATTTTGGCTGGAAGTAGAGGATGGGAATCTAGAGAAGTACCAACTGATCGTGGAGAGCCTGCCATCTGACTTCAAGTTATTTTGCCTCCAACTTACATAAGACAGACTTCAAGCTTGAGGACAAGCCTTTTCTTCAGGAAGGGAGTAATGTTATTGATGCGTTTGTCGGGAAACAATATTACAAACGCAAGAATGATTAATATTTCTGAATTATTGTTTTAGTTGTTTTAGTCGAACATAACTTCCTGAGTGGATTAGGATTAGGATTCTTATTATTTTAGTTTTATAGGACTTTGTTATTTCTAATTTATTAGGACTCTTGCTATCGTAAACCTCTATTTAAGAGAGTTGACATTATTAATAAAATAAGTTGGATTTTATCAAGTTTCAGAGATTCGGAACTTTCTCAAACAAGTTCCTAGGTCTGCAATTTCCTGAGTGAATTACAAATTTCAGCAATCATAGGCAAGTCGAGGAACAAGAACAGGGGATTAGACCTGTCTATTGGACCTGACTTTTCAGTTAATTGTCCAACGACTCGATCCAGAACTAGGGACCATAACATTATACTGCTAAATCTTCTGAAAATGAGAATCTACGTTATTGGAAGGAAATATTAAAGGGCAAACTACATAAATCCCACTAGTTTAAGTCCTAATTACTTAGATTCCCGATAGTTTTAGATATTACTTCCTCTACCATATTTCATACTTAGGATACATGAGTTTAAATCTGTGAGATACATGTATCTGCCGAATTTTAAATTGAGATACGTATTTTATTTGTTTAAATTAATAGGTTGTAACTGATTTCCTTAATATAAGGCGGAAATCAAGGAGTGTATCTATGTTTAATTAATTTCATTTTATTATTATTTGAAATAATAAATTCGTTAATATTATTAATAAAAGACAAAAACATGTATATCTCGGTCATGCAATTTGATTAATTTCATTTTATTACTCTTAAAATAATAAAATTCATTAATTTGATGTATCTATTATCAATATATGATGTATCCAACAAACTAAACACTTAGATACATGAGTATCATACAAGTACATCCATATGTATAATAGAAGTATCTAATATTAATTTTGTGTATTTGTTATATGTGTCTAGTATAAAATTTCATGTATCTATTTATATGATCTAATTTAATTTCATGTATCTATTATTAATTCGATGTATCAACTATCAATTTCATACATTTTATTCAAAATCATGTATCTAGGATACATAGTAAACGCACATATAATTATGTGTATCTAAATATGAAATGTAATTGAAACACACGAATTTAGGAACAAATCACGACTGTGGAGTATTTGTCTTATCATTAATCCAAAAAAAAGTTAAAAAATTCAAAATTCTCCCTTTCTTTAAGGATCTGAAATTTTTTCTCATAGATGCATATAATCTTAACTCAGATACATGAACTCTTAACTAGATACATGAACACCTGATGTGTATCCAACATTGTTGCACTTGATGTGCATCTAATGGTGTACTTTTTTCTCTTAATTAAAGCTTGGCGTAATTCTTCATCTTGATTGAGACATTCCTATACTTAGATCTATTCTCGACTTGAATGTTGGCGGATGAAGAGTCAGTTCCTACAATGAGAAATTGATGAGTGAAAATGAGCAAATAAAAGTTGTTTGATTTAGTATATATAGTATTGTTAAAGTGTAGTACCTTTGACGAGAATCATCCGATTTTGGGAATGTTCAACCATTAAAGTGTCCGAGAAACAACAAAATCAAAAAATATAAAACCTAATTTGTAAAATTCTATAAAATTGAACTTCAGAACATTATGAACTCAAATACAAAATCAAAATACATGAGAATAATAAAATAATCGAAACAAACCTATATGTATAATACTGATTTATATTGAGAGGATGAAGGAAGAAAGAGGGAAAGATGAATTAAGGAAGAAGGAAGGATGGGTTTACGGAGGAAACGGCATATGTGAAAAAAGAAGAAGATGATTTGCTTGTTAATGGATATGGACCATTAATTAAGGAGTAGATAATTATTCAATTCCTTATTTAAGGGATTTGTGTATCTAATTAAATTTTTTAATATATATGATATAAATATTAAAAGTGGTAATTATGTAATTATTTTAAACTAGAGGTAAATATAGTATATATGGTAGTGATGTATGTGTAGTTATGTAGTTTATCCAATATTAAATGCTGGCATGAAAGCTCATCTTAGTGTAATTAATCACTGGATATTATTAGTGATTAAATATTTATGCTTAGCTTTCGTCCTGGATCAACATCTAGTATTATATAGTTGTGCAATGTCTCACTTCTCCTTCTGTAGGATACTCAGTTGGCTCATACTTCTCATAACATAGTGTTCAGAAGAGTATTTTCAATTGGTACTTGTCTCTTCCTGAAAAAAAGTATAGTTATCTTTGTCATTAGTGTCATAGACTCTTGTTTAAACAAGTATTTATCTGTCTGCCTTGAGAACCTAGTTCTGCCATTTTTTTTCCTACCCATCTTGGATGTTATTACTAATTTGAGACAATTAGTGATATAGCTGGAATATTTCTTGTAACTGTCTTATCATTTTACCAGCCATTCTTGAAGTAGGTTACCATTGGGGACCAAAGGTGACACATGTACGTGGAATATCATTTACTTCAAGGGATAGTACCAAAATAAAGGAAATTAAATGGAACCTACAAAGTTTCTAGTCGACTCAACCATGACTTAATGCATTTTCTCCTCTTTCATGCATATTCCTGGAAGTAATCTTTGAACATTGTCTCTTTAACTAGCACTGTAGTTTCACCACAGTTCTTTCCCTCTCTTTTTGTTATTTCCGTCCTTCTGTTTTGTCCTCTTCATTTATGTTTGATGATTCTGTGAATTGCCATGTAGCATTTGATCTAAATAATTTAAAATAATTCTATCATTGCTTTAAGAAATTGCAAATAAACATTTCATCTTATCCTTCACTAACCCTTGTCTGTAATCTGCAGATATTTACTACAGTTGTCTTCTTCTCTTCATTTAATGAGATATCAGTGATGCCTCATCAGAATCAGGTATGATTGTCATCAGGGAATAGAGTGAATTGTGGAACAAATAGGAAATAATACAATACTTGTAGAGTTGCAGTGAATATATCCCTTCCCTTATAAGGTAATTTAGGTAATGAAAATCCTACATATAACAAGGAAGAAGAATCATTGGTATGAAATGAACAATATACGTCACATCCTAATTCTATGCTGTATTAAGGTCTCCCTGGTTCATAAACTCTAAGCTGACTGGTCATATCTCTCTACCTAGAGAAATTAGGGAAAATATCATCAACTCTTAAGATTCTATAAGCACTTGATTGGTACATATACTTTTTAAGTTTGTAACTTTACCTGCTTTCTTAACCTAGTGATGAAGTTACCTAATGCGTTGAACCCCTGAAGGACGATGACCATAAATAGTTGGAACAAGTCGTCATTGCCTTTAAAAAGCAAATATTTCAACTATTTATTTTCATATTACGCCAAAATCAATTGAAAAAAAAGAAACTTAAGAGTTCCATTATTTTTAGTCAAATAGAAAAAGATATAACCAAAATAACAGAGTTGCAATTGTGTACTTCTTTTTGTTCTATCTTTTAGATGCAATGACTTTTTCTTAGGACAAATCTGTTTTAAAAAAAATTACTTGGTTAGAGCTCCTTTATATATACTCCTCTTCCTCTTCTCCCTAAAATGATTAACATGAAAGTAACAACAACACAGGGACAAAATGGGCAGCAGGGTGTGTGGATGTACCAATGCATCCATTGTAAAAAAAACTTCCCTTCAAGCCAGGCCATAGCAGGCCATACAAAGGGTCATTTCAGAGATGGCTGGGTTAAAGGAACCCCCCAGAGCAAAGTATTTGTACTATTTTCTGAGTATCAGCAGCAGCAGGGTTCTATTACTGACTCTTCAATTCCCGAGAAACATGTTTTTTCTGCAGCAACATCTGACACTGACTTAACAGATGCTCATCGATTGCCAATAGGTGATGTGCAGAATTCCAGAAGCCTGGTCGTACGGCCTCCATCTCCAGCTTCGTCTAGCAGACAACCACGAATCCCTAGGCATCATTTGAGGCTTCGTGATCTGAAGATACTAGCTAGGCTAAGGGCTCGTCTTACCAGAGAGGAGCAAGAAGTCATTTTGCGTCTTCTTGATAGTGCTATGGAACAGGTTCATTCATTAATTTAAATATGCACTTGCTCGATTTTTTTTTCTTCCTTCATCACTCCTATAATTTTCTTAGGTGTCATTTAGTTCAAAACTAGGGATTATATCAATCCCACTTTTTATATGAGATGAGTGATACCAGGATTTTGGTATAGAAATAACACTGATCTTAGATTATACTTCCAATCAAATACAGATAGGTTTAACCTCAAAATCTATAATGGGATAGCCCAATTAATCCCTTGAACCAAACAATCGCTTAAAGAAGTCCTTTTCATATCTTACTCTAATGAATTGCTACCATCTTTATGAATTTGGTTAATCCACCATGAATTATATTTTCAATAGTAGTGTTCAAGTAATTAATGTGTGGTTAGCTTTTTCACCTCCTGTACCACCAACATGCTTGGTCTTGTTAGAAAGATTGGAATATCAATCTCATCGAGACAAACTACAAAAACTCATGCTTCAGGAGCAGAATCTTTCTCAAATTCTAGTGTTTCCACGACAAGTAATCAATTTTGTTCTACCTAATCCCTCTTTCATGACCACGTATTTTTCCAGCTTAGGATGTCGGAAATCTTTGTTGAATGCAACTAATTTGATGATTGATAGGGGTATTATTTTGTTACAGGCAAAACAATCAAGCAAGAAGAGCACTGAGGCGGAGGTGATCCCAAATAGAAACTCAGAAGCAGCAGCCGCGATTGGAACTACTGACACAGATACCGATGTCTCTTCTGAGGAATCAGATGATGAGTCCAAAAATATGTGATCATATGGTTAAAGCATATATGCAATAGTTTCTGGGCTATTTCTTATTAGTTATGGTTCTGAAGACCGTTCGAATTAATAGTGAAGTGTTCTATTAGATATATGAACAGTATAATGTTGTTGCTTTTTTAGATCATCTAAGAGTAGAGTTGAACAAGGTTCTTCCCTTTATCCCCTCTGTTGAATTAATGTATATGTGACTGCTACTGAGGCATTGTCTGTGACTGTGTGAGGCCTTGGTTGCTTTATTAATTGAAGATATATGTATGTTTTGCTATTCTGAAGGAAGCCAATTGTTACACTTCTAGCATAGGGTGATGATAGAGTAATTTCATGGCAGGTTATAAAAAATAATAGTGATGGGATAATTTTTTTTTATCTTGTTTGGTTGCCATGTTTGGGATAACTTATCCCACCATTAATATCTTAGTGATGAGATAAGTTATCTCATATACATGGTGGGATAAGTTATCCCAGGATAGCTAATCCCAGGATAACTTATCCTGGGATGACTTGTTCCCAACCAAACGACGTATTAGATGGTTGAAGTAGAGGTGGGGGTGGGGTGGGGTGGACTACTTGGAAAATTACGTATGGAGTTAATAAATTGTGAATTGTTTACATTTTTTTTTTTTAGATGTATGATTTTATCTAACTTGTATAGATGTAATAACTATCTCTTTCAACAGTATATTGTTTATTTTGGCCAAGATTTGTGAAATAAAATAGGCCAAAATTTCATTATGATGTCTTGGTGATCCATTCATCTTGTTGGCGGTGGCTGCATTTTTCATAAAGGATTTTTTTATTGAGAACAACGAAACGAATTGGTGAGGAACTGAAAACGTATCCATCGAAATATAAAAGGATTAGGATTTCCAAAAAATGGTAACAGACAAATAAGGTAAAAAGTTAAATGCATTTATTATAGTCAAAGGGTAATTTTGATTATTTCATAAAAAAACAACACAACTTTGACCGGTTTTGAATTTTGAAATCCCAAATGCAATATTTTCCCACTTCCTTTGATTAGCACTTCCAATAAAATGGTAATAATGTTTGGACAAATAAATTTAAAAGGTTAAATGTATCTATTATAATCAAAGGGTAATTTTGAATATTTCTTTAAAAAAATAAAAGAAACTCAACTTTGACATGTTTTAATTTTGAAACTCCAAATGCAACATTTTCCTGCTTCATCTTCTTTTTTTTCTTATTACTTATTAGACTCATAAATTAAAAATGTTAGAATCTAATATTAAATTTCTTGTTTTATTCACATTTATGATTACTATTTTCTTTTTCTGAAAGAAAGTTTAGCCTTATATAATCTTAATTAGAGTTGTCAATATGGGCTAGCCACTCCACCAGGACTAATCCATACAAGCTTTAAAATTTGACGGGCTAGGACGACTGACCAATTTTTTGTGGGCCAAAAAACAACTAGCCCAACCATTAGTACGTGGGCTGCAGATCGTGGTGGGTCAACCCATTTTTTTAAAAAAATATTCTTTTAATAATTTTTTAAAATTATACTTTAAAAATAGGGTAATAATTCAAAATGTCAATATTTTAACATTTAATAGGATCCATTGTCAACACTTTCAATATTTAGTAAAAATGTCAAAAAATAGTTTATTATGTATCTTATTTAAGTTTTTATTATTTGTTTTAATTGAAAGAATACAATTGTTAAATAGCAGAAAGGAGAAATTTAGGGGAAAAATAATTTTAAAAAGGAACAATCCCTTAAAAGTCTCATTAGTTACAAAAATCAAAACTGAATACTTCATCGGCGACTCCATTGTTGATCAATTTTCTCATTATCGATATTCAAGATTCAATTGAAAATACTCAATCTCTGATCAATTTATTTTGATTAAAATCTATTTTTTTTCCTGTTTGGTAAGATAGATTTGAACGAAATAAGACAAAAAAATTGTTGACAAGCAGCTTTGGAGATGGATTTTTCTGCTGGAAGTTCGATAAAATTGGTGGAATACAAATTGGACCATGTATTAGTTAATCGCTTCATCCTTAATTTGTTTCTAATTGATTATAATTTTGATATAAATTTTTATACATAATTGTAAATTGTATCTATTTTCATTGTAAATTGTATGTATTATGAACAACGTATGAATAATTAGTTTTGGTGGATTCGTTGAATTTTTTTCTTGTTGAATACGAAAATAATAATGGATTGTTTGAAGACATGTTTTTTTCATTGGCTGTTTGTTTTTAATTTTTCAAATCAAATCGTATTCCTACGAAAAACACATTGGAGCGGGTACAATTTTTTACGACAATTGTACTGTATTTTCATTTATTTATTTGTTATTTGTTTTCTATTTATTGAACTACATTGTATCTTAGAAACCACATCATATAAATACAAATTTAAACCATAATGTAACTTGTAATCCACACCAGACAGATACAATAATTATTATGATATCATGAATATTCCAAATATGCTATACTGATTTAAAATGAATACAAATTTATAAAGTTAATATGTATATTAACTTGACTGGATACAAATAACACTCTTGCAATGTCCATAACTAGAAAATGATACACATAGCATAATGAATACAAACACATGTAAATACAGTAACTTGTAAAGCTCATAACACAATTACAACAAATATGCCATAATGAATACAAAACAATCAAATAATAAGGAGTGAATACAATCTGAAATATCAACACTATTTGTTTTAAAGGAATACAAATGTATAAGTTAATATGTATCTTTACTTAATTGGATACAAACAACACTCTTACAATGTTCATAACTAGAAAATGATATACAGAGCATAGTGAATACAAAAACCTATAAGTACAGTAACTTATAAAATCACACAACACAAATACAACAAATATACCATGATGAATACAAAACTATCCAATAAGAATTCATTAATACAATCTGAAATAGCATCACTATCTAAAGTATAAAAATATCATTAATTTACTAAATACATACCAATATACATACCTAGAAAAGGATGATTCCAAATATGTGATATTTTATCAAAACTAACAAAATATTCACAAATACAAAAATAAAATAAAATTGGGAATACAATAAACAACTCTGTTCTAAATTTGAAGAAGGTTTTGCACACTGATTGGGTCCTGTAAATGTTTCGATCGTCTCTTCCATCATTTCAGCAGCGGATCCTACATTATCCGCTATTTCTTGAGTAATACGTAGATTAAATGATGGAAAATCTCTAGAAAATTGTTGATTAAGTTGGATACCTCAAGTAATTCTCTTAAATTCTACCATTGGAGAGTGATTTGGAGTTTATCAAACCCTAAACATCATTTCAACTACAGACAACAATTTTGAACGATTTAAAAAAAAATCATAAAACAAATCTTATATGCATATCTTAATCAAAGGGATTGTGTGAATATCTTTATAAAATATATTTTCCAATTTCTGAAAGAAAAAAACAAACAAACAAGAAGGAACAAAGAGAGACAGGCTTTGAAATGGAGAAGAATTGGAAGATGAAAATATTCACTTTTTTTTATACATATGAGAGAGAATTAACTGAAAAATGTGTAATTAAGGTGAAATAAAATAGGAAGTAAATTAGGATACACAATATTTTCAAAAATAATGATATTTTGACATTTTTACTAATATTTATAAAGTATGGAAGTTTTTACTAATTAAGTTAGGTTTTTTGACTAGTTTGCTAATTTTCCCTTAAAAATATTAACATAAATATCGACAAGAGAATATTACATGATTAGAGTTACTACTGGTTAACCAAATCCACTAATAAAATAATCTTTATATTGTTTATTAAGTTTGACTTCAAGTAAAAATATAACTAGCTAAATAGAAATATTAACCTAATTATTTTTTAATGATCACAAAAAATATGACAATATTCCAATCATTAAAAAGTGAAAAATGAACTCCTTAAAAAAATGCATGAAACTTATGGCGTATTCAACACCAACACATCATCTTCATCAAGCAGTTATGAATCATCTTGTGGCAAGGTTGTCTTAACATCTTCATTTTCATATACGGTTTATATGCAATATCAATTAGTTACACATAAGAAAATCACTAAATTTAAGAACTACGTATAATATTTATCTGTACGTAAAAAATATTACTTGTTTGAAAAAAATCATGCAGCCAGTTTCCAGTAGAAACAAGTGTTTGAATATTTTCATGATGGATGCAACTTCTATACTTTGTGAGAACACGTCCACCAATAGTGAATGATGATTCCAATGATACAGTAGTAATAGGGATACTAAGTACATCACGTTTTGATGATTCTAAATTTTGATGTTTAAAACTTTACATAGACTTTGAGTTTAAACTTTTGTTACTTTTAATACTCTATATTATTTTTATTTTTTAATTAATTTTTTATTTAGACCACGGGCCGGTTCAAGCTATATTGCTGAAGTGTAAATTTCATATATGACATATATTATAGTACTATTTTCAAGCTATAACAGTAGATTTAGACTTTCAAGCTATAACATTAAAAATTTCAGGTTATAACAAATTTACAAAAAAAAGAAATATTTTTATTAATTGGAAAAAACTTAAAAAAAAAAAAAAAGATAAACGAAATTTAAAAAAAAAAAATGGAATTAGAAATAATAAAGTAAAAAACTGAAATTGTGGGCTGTAATTTAATTTGAAATTATTGTAATTAATTAATGATTAGCATGAAATAAGGGAT